TTGGTCCGACCTTTGACACGCAGCTCAAAAAATCGTATTAGAATCGAGCCAGAAACGCGCGTGGAGAGGAACAGAAAGAAGCGAAAGAAATCCGGCAATTGATTAGAAAGTGTTGAAATTTGAATGCGGAGAGGAGGAGAGAATACGGAATGATTGAATAAATTGTAGAAAAGGATCGCGCCGTGTACACGCATGTACACGTGAAATGTGAATGGGAAATGTAATGCGAAAAAGAAACCGTTGTAGAAGAACCATGTAGACCGTACAAGGCGTCCATAATCGTAACAGTGTTCCCCCATTCATTAGGTTCGTAGACCGCAAAGCTGCCGAAGACGGCGGATACGGATATGGCGCGAAGACCTCGACGGTGGTGGCGGAGGTCCGTGGAATCGAGTCATCAGTTATTCAATGGAAGTCGCAATGGACGCGCCCCCCGCGGTGCCGACCTTAAACTCGAAATGAAATGTGTAGAAACGAAAGGAACAGATCGAAGAGAAATGAAAATAGAAATAGTGAAAAAGAAAAGAAATGAAAAAAAAAAGAAAAGAAACGAAATTAAACGAAAAGAATTTAAAAAGAAAAGCAGAAGAAGCAGCGCCGAGTCGTCCCGAAAATAGGAACGCCGGCCGGCGTCCACTTTAAATTCAGCTGCTCCTCTTGCGGGGGCTTTCTTTTTACCCAACAACACACGTCCATGTAACACTCTGTAACATAATTCAATGTCAATTGGCCCCGAAACAAAAAAATGTACACCAGTTCTGTAATACGTTCATTTCATTTACTACGGTACATTATTATTATTAATCGCATTCATCTTTTCATTCATTATAATAATAATCAATGAATTAGAATTGAATTAATTCTATCGGCGAAAGCATTGTCGTAGAATTTATTACAATTAAATTAACTACCAATTATATATTCTATATCAGAGTATACAAATAATCGAAAGCGTTCAAATTCAATTTAAACTAGTTTTTGGAACACTTTGAAATATAATTCATATATTATTGGATGTGTACAACAATAATTACTATACTTTAATGTTAATCTAATCTTCAAAAATATAGCTTTTGCGTTAGTTTAAAAAAAATCTAAAATTCTCCACTTTCATGAAAGTTATTTAATAAATGCATAAAATAAAATAATAAAATAGCAGAAACACAATTTTGATGTTAAAGCTTTAATTACAACTTAAAAGAATCTCAATTTTTGAGTTATTCAAAAGTTAAATATATAAATGTTGTAAATATATCCATATATTGTACGGAAAATAAAAAGAAAATCATTTTATTATATTATTAATTAATATAAACAACAGTCACATAAAAACAAATATTGGGTTGGCAATTAAATGATTGCAGATTTTATCCACCTATTGTTTTAGCATATTCTTTTGTTGTCTCAACGTATTCAAAGCACTTAACATATTGTTTTCTTGTTGTTTGGACTTCTAAATTTAATTTAGTAAAAAAATTGTATCGATTAGTTAAAAAATGAAAGAAGCTTGGCAAAAATTTTGAATTTTCTTCTCACTTAAAATACGCAATCACTTACTTACCAGAATCGACCCCTAACGACGTTATATGGACCCTTGAGGGCCGATATTGATCACTTAGATGACCAAAGTACTGAGCTAAGTGCTTCACACCATTCTGTAATCATTAATATTATTGTATCACAAAGCATGGTGTAAGGTTCATCAAACGCAATTAAATAAAGAAACACTTGAATAATTGGTCTGAGTTCTTACGGCCCTGAATAAAGTAATTATTTATTTCATATAATTATATATCAGTATTTTCTAAATTGTAGTGTACAAATAATTGAAAGAGTTTGTATGCATTTGAAAGTATTATTTTAACACTTTAAGAATATAATTGACAATTCATTTTCCAATTAACAATAGATGTTTCATTTAATAGCTTACAATTATACAACACAACTATTGTGATTCATACTAAAATTAACATTTAAATAACCTTAATCTCTCCTTGTAAGGAAAACTCATATGCATTTTCAAGGTTCGAGAGAAAGTGAGCGCGATGTTCTCAAAATTTATGTCATGTTACAATATAAACGTTTTGGTCAAAGTGAGTACCATGCATTTGTTAAATTCAAAATGTATTTCGCATAAGATTTAGAGTTTTAGAATTTTACCTTTTAACATAAGTAAACCTAACCTTATATTTTACACAATTCAATTTAAATGAACTAAACTTTTTGTTATGATTATAGAATTAAAAGTTTACAAATATCTTTTTAAGTGTAATTAATAGTAAATATTGAACTATACATTCGATTAATAAAGTTTCTATAATTATGTGATATTCAAGGATAAATAAACTTTTTTAATTTGTAAAAATGACCGAAACAACAGAATGTATCTTCAATAATATATTGTATTTATAAGAAGTGATTACCTAAACTAATGTAAAATTAACTAACACTTGTATAATTTTATCCAAAAATTTTATGTAAAAGTACACTAACCTTATGTTATTTGTTAATCAATATTTTGTCTGAACTTGGTTCTCCCCAGAATTGAATATTAGCCACTATCTAATCATTTTTTTTTAATAAAATTATCAATATTTCTTCATATCTATTAGTCTGATTACAGTTATTAATGTTGACAGGACTTCAATATCTCACTAAAATAAAAATTAGAATTACCAACTTTTATAATTGATATTACTATTTTTGAGAGTATAAAAAAAAGGTTGGCACTTGGCAAACAAATACAAATATTAAACAAAAATGTATAAGCAAAGAATAAATATTTACGAAGCGGCAAATGAAAATCTAAATAAATTAACAATAATAATTATGATGAAACTGTACAAACAAAATGAAAATAAATACTCATGAATTATTCGAAAATAAATGTCGTCTGTCAAACTGTCAACAAATTAAAGATTAAAGTAAGATTAAAGAACCATCAAATAGTTATTATTAACAAAAATTGTCTAAATTGAACGAATGTAGACAATTATGTAAATATATAATTAATAATAATAAAAAGAAATTGTATGCATTTTCACACCAATTTTATTGACATACATACACTAAAATTAATATAAATGTATGCTAAATTAATTATTCGCTCATTATACATATAACGGTACATATAATTGAATGAAGTTCATTTGAAACAAAGAAGGATAAAATTTCATACATTAAACAATAAAAAAAAGTTTTTTTTTTGTTGGTGTTTCCCACTTCATCATTTTTAAGTTACGTTGTAATACAATAATCTCGTTTCACAGTAAAAGTAACATGTGCTGGTTTTGTTTTGAATTTCTCTGCACATGTTCTTCTGTTTGATGTAAGTATGAAATATAGAACGGAAGTCAAAAAATTACCCTTGTGTGATGCATTTTGAAATTGCCATAATTTGCGCTTTATTTTACTTATAATTTCATAATAATTGCATATAATCAGTATACCTAACGATTTACTCATTTTTATCATATTTATGTTTATAAAACATTTAAGAAGTAGCTTCAATTATTATATATTCCTTAGTGATTGTACAAATTTCGCTTCATATATTCAAATTCCAGTCTATTTAGAAATGTTGATGATATGCGCAATATTATTCAAACAAAGCATTAAAATTGTTATATGAATTAATGATGTTTGTTTATTTTTTTTTTATAGATTACCTCAACTTATTTAACATCTTTCATTAAAAAAAACATAAATCATTCGTATATTTGTTTACTTTTATCAAGGTCAAAAAATATATTTGTTTTATTGTTTGGCAATTGATAAGAATTATTGTTAGTTGATATTGACGTAAGTACTTTTCTAAGTGAATTTTAACAAAAGTAACGATAAAATACTGAACATATTTCTTACAAATTGAAAATTGTGGTAACTATGCTCTTACTATGATGATGATAGATATCTTATTGATAATAATAATCAGTTTAATTTTGTATGTAGAATTTGCTTGAAATTAATTATTTGTCGTCATTTAATGAATAGATACGGTTTGTAGCATAAGTGAACATTCATCAATTTTGGAAATTAGTTTATGTTCTAATTTTTTAATTTTTGAAAGACCAAATAGTGTAAGTAGAATTAGTATTTACGTGTTTAGTTCAAGTAATTGTAAGTATAGAAAAGGTCCTAACCTAGTTTTGATAGAGATTAGAAAACAGATAGATTTTAGAAATATTATATTTAATGAGATTAAGGATTAGATAATATGTAGCAAATTAGTTACGATCTTTAATAGAATTTATACATCGTATAGTATAGTTCAAATTAGAGTAAATGCATTAGATAATTAAAATATTTTAAGAATATATCTGTTGTAGTTCAGGAAGATGAAGGTTGGATGATAATATTGTGTATTGGAGTATTGTGTTTTCATATAGGACAGTGAGCTTAATTTTTTATTGTAAAAATATAAAATATTCTGACTCTGTAGCGTGTTTTATTTAAATAAGATTTAAGGAAGGGTGTAAATTGCAGATATTTATAAATACAAATCAGAGGTTCAAGGGAATTGTTGAATTGGTCGCACAGTAGAAATGGAACAGCCGGTAAGAGTGTAATTAAAGAGTAATTTGCGTGCGGCGCGCGAAAATAATAAAAAAAAAAGGAAAAACTGTACCGAGCGCGTGCAAGAGCGGTGCCGGTGCCGTGCGGGCATTGTTCCATTAACATATAACAATAATAATAATAACACGCACGCACTCATCGCCATCGTCGACGACGATTCCGACTTCGACTTCGTAGCTTCCTCTTTCTCCTTTAAGTCTTTCCGTCTTTCTTTTTTAGTCGCGCCAGCTTCAACAGGCGATTCATTCAGCAAAGGAAATCACTTACAATGCATTAGTACAATATATACTCTAAGTACAACCAAAGGTGAAGTACGAGTGTCAGATAGTGACAAATAATTGACGGATCTAAGTGCGACGAAACGACGGATTGAGGAAGTGCGGATTGTGCGAAGAAAGAGTGAGCTCGGGTCGTTGTTGTTTAGTTAGTATTTAAAATAAAAAAAAAGGTTCATTGAATGCAAGTGATTCACGTTGGATGACGCGAATCCACGAAATGTTTGAGAGCCGACAGTAAAATAAACAAAATGCTCTATTTACATTATCGCGGCACTAAATCCAATCCACGGGTTTTGATAGCCTATTGAACTTTTTCCCCTCCGACACAATGAGGTTTCAGTCCGTTCCACGTCCATGGACGTTTTAATCGTGTGCCGACTGCTCTGCATCACATTATTGTAATAAGTTAACAGCAACTGTCGTTTTCCAGTGCTCTCCGACGACGACTGCGGAACGAAGCGCCAATTGGATAGAATTGGATCGAATCGGATCAGATCGGTTTGGATTGGATTGCTTTTGTTTTGGATAGATGTGGTGCGTGGTTCCTCCATCAAGCGAACGACCACGCGAACACCAGCAGATTGATACAAACAGATTATGATGGTAAGTTGGGTTCAGATGGTTTGGGTTGGGATAGGATGATGATCGACGAGTGGTTGGGTGGAGAGAAAGTTTCAGTGGATATTTGGTTTTCGCAGGATGCACGACGATCCGCTATGTCTAGGATAATTTCCGTTTGGTGCCTGTCGATGGTGACGTTGGTGTTGGCTGCGGCCGGTGACGATGGACAGCAGTTGAACGACTGCTCGTTTTCGATGAAGAAGCAGATCCTGACCTGCGAGAGGATCGCCCTCAAGGACTCGAATATCGGCAACACCATAGGGACGGCAACGCAAATGCTAGTGATCAGACGCAGCGCCAATCTGACGATTACCCCGGGCTTCCATTCGCCTCCTTTCCGTCTACTCACCAGTTACCACCTCACCGAGTGTCCAGATCTGCAGGTCAGCCCGTTCAGCTTCCAGCAGCTGCCCAACCTCAAGTACATCAAGATCATCGACAACACGTACACGACGGTCGCCTCGAATACCTTCTACGGCCTGGTGAACTTGGAGGTGCTCAGTCTCAACAATAACAGCATCAACACGATTGAGACGGACGCTTTCAACGGGCTCTCTAGCCTGGAAACCTTGGAACTGACGCACAACAACTTTAAGACTGTATCCGCCCACGTCTTCGCCAGTCTGCACAACTTGCGCTCGCTCTTCCTCTACCACAACAACATCGAGGTGCTCGAGGACGACTGCCTCTTTGGACTCAGCAACCTCAACGTCCTGGACCTCACCTACAATAGGATAACGAGGATCAAGACGGCAGTCTTCGACGCGGCACCAGTGCTCACGCAACTCTATCTCTCCTTTAATCAGATCGAGACCGTCGAAGGCGACTTTACCTCCGAGAAACTGGAATTTCTCTACCTGCAGAACAACAAGTTGCGCAACGTTACAGACACACTCTTCAATTCCTTGGTGAACCTCGTCGACGTCGACCTCTCTCGCAACAAAATCACCTCCTTCGCCCCGGACGCCTTCATTAACCTCACCAGACTCAACAACCTCAACTACAAGGATAACAACCTCGAACGTCCTGTCCATCTTCAGTTTGCCGACAAACCACCGCTGATAACCTCTTAGTTTTTGCTCCACCATCTCCTACCCCTAATTATTTATTAATTCTTTAATTGTTATTATTACTATTAATTATAATCGAATAAATCTAAGATCTATTATAATTTCATTTATCCTCTATTCCACCGACTCCAGTTTCGAATAAAGTGTCGCCATCCGTGGCGGATGCCATCAACCATTTGAAGAACGCGCACGTCTGGTTGCATGCATACCGATGAGGATTCTTAATTTAATTTAAATTATATGCGACAAAAAAAACTACTACATTCACATATAAATAATAAATATGTGAAGCAGAAAGTTGCTTTGATATGAATAATAACACAAAAAATTACAATACGAACAAATATAAAAAAGAAACCCAGTGCAAAAGATATTGTTTATGTAAATGTTATAAAACACAAAAGATAATTTACATGAGTACTAAATATAAATCAACTTTCACTGAAATTACGTAACTTTTCTCTATTTTTACCAATAGGTTAGGCAAATATAAAATGATATAGTAAATAACTTTGATTTATCAATTAACTGAATCCGCATGTTAGTTATATACTTTATAATATTCATTTATTTTTTATTTTTAAAAAGTTAAAAAATTTTAATAACAGTCTCAAAGTAATATGTAGATACTAGAGTGTAGAAAATTTACCAAAATTAACGAATTCGAAATTTAAAATATGTAAATAGTAATAACTAAAATTAAACTAATTTCATGTGATTTACAAATCACTTATATATACGCTCTACTACATCATATTTTTATTTTTAAATAAATTACATATTGAATGAACGATTACTCACTGGTGACTAACACAATTAAGGATATTTTTATGTTTATGGAATAATGTTGTTTATGGTCTGATTGCCAGAAATACTTACAACTTATAATACCAAGAATAATTAACTCGCTTGATCGGATTATCGCTCTAGTTATTTATAATCGTGGGTAAAAACGTGTATCGAACAATAAATAAATCAGAATTTTTATAGTACTTGTAAAGTACTATAAAAATATTGATGTAAAGCACATTATTTCTCTTAATTAATTAAGTACAGTCAATCCTCCTATAACGCGGTGAGTGCGTACCGCGTTATATGGAAACTGCGCTATAAGAAACTCGGTTTTAACCGTACAAACCAGACTAATTCGTAGCGTGTTCTATGGAAACCGTCTACCGCGTTGTATGGAAACCGCGCTATAAGAAACTCGGAATTAGTACAAATCACATCATTCGTACCAATGAATACAAAAGACAAGATAAATTATATTTTTTTTATTGAATTGAATTGAAGAGTTCATATAATGATTGATAAAAAAATGAAACAAGAACTAAACTAAAACACTATTTTTCAACAAAAACAATGAAGTCTTTTGTAAAATTATGTAATCTTTCAACACTCATCCTCGCTGTCAGATATATGTCGCCTAACTCATCTTCTTTTAATGGGCAAAATGTCTTCATCACTTAGTTCATCTTCACATTGGTTTTCGATTGTAGCTTTTTTTTTCTAACTCCACTAAAACCTCTCTATAGGGATCTAAGCAATTTCTTAACCCTTGAACGATCGTTGAACGATCAGTTTGAATGAAATGAAGTTTTAATTCTTTAGCCAAATTTAGCCGTTTTCCTTATTTTTGTTTACCAATGCATTTGAGGTGGATGCATCAATTAATTTCATCAGTTCTTCCTCATCTAAAGTTTCTTCCCCGAGTACTAGTTCTCCTACATCCTGATGTTTTACTGCAAATTCTTCATCGCTTAAACGAGAAGAAATGTTTACTATTTCTGTAACTGGGAGCGAAATTGCAGAATCATCTTGTTGTCTTGCTTGAACCATTTGAGGTAAAAGAGATTTCCAACACGAATTAAGGGTTGACGGTACTTATGGGATGCTGTTGAACGAAAACCGCGCTGTAAGAGTACCGCGTTATAGGAGGGCTGTCGCAATTTCAGCTCCGCGTTATATCAAAACTGCGTTCTTAGAGTACCGCGTTATTAAGTGAGATTCTACTTAAGTAAACCAGTAGTTTCAGTATTTCTAAATATATAATGAATAATTGAAATAATTTAGATAACATAAGAATGCAAGATCAATAAACTTTTTGTTTATATTGATAACAATAATAATATTTACATTATATAAAAAAATATATTTATATAACGTAACAACGGGATAGGAATTTAAACTAAGATATTCTTTTCAATGTATATTTTCATCACAATTTGTATTTATCTTAGGAAAATGTCCTTTTTGAACATGAAAACCATTTTTTTGTATTTAACTTGTGCATTACAATTTATAAAATCTTCAACAGTTAGTTTTTCAATTAATGTTATGTTAATTAATTTATTAAATAAATATTTATTCAATACATTAATACGATTCAATTTGAAAACATATCACTATTATAATTTCAGCTAATTAATTAAACAGTCATCAATTTTGAAATTTGTAGGGATGTCAATATGTAGCTGTAATCCAGACAAAATCACTTTGTACTAATTAAAATGCATGTTGTAGATTATAATCAATAATAAATAAAGAAGTATATAAAACATTCATATACAATTTTTCGTGCAGAATGTAAGCCATTATAATTATCTAAAGCCTAAGATTTAGAAAACATTAAAAATGTTTTGGACCCATCTCAATCATTTGGCTGTTACTTCTCTACATAATGAATAAAACTGTTAAATATTAATTTCTCTCGAGTGATTGGATCTTCTCCAGTATCTCCAAAAAGTATTTTGAAACCATATTTAAATCATCTTAATTTAATTTCAATAAAGAAATTTTATAAAATGAATAGGGCAGAATTATCTATGGATAATAAAGATTTGTAATGGTTTACATTAATTGGAATTAGTAATATATAAATAATAAGGGTTCTAATACCGGTAAATTAATTATAAATACTTTCTAAGCAAAAAAATCGTAATAATAAAACAAAAAATATTAACTTTTAGAGTTAAAAAAATATTTTTTGATAGTTTATCTAACGAAACGAAATTTATCAAACCAATTCGTACACTCTTTCTTTTAGAGCTTCATCACTATACACATTTCTTTACTTTTTAGTTGCTTTCTCTCCTTTTCGAAATTCATAAAGCAAAATATGTTCTCCACGTTTGACACTTTTTGCTCTCAATACCATGGACTGCTACTTGGTTTCCAGGTAAAACTTATAGAATCAAGATTCATCACCTATTACGATTTTAATAAAAATGCTAGAATTTCCATTTTCTAATTTTTTCAAGAAATATTCGTCAAAACGAAATGCAGTGAAATGCATCGAGCGGATTTCTTCCTGCAGCCAAAATGATGATTTAATATTTGCGATAAAGCCATGGCATTTAAGCCTAGTTCATCAAATAGCATTTCCTGTATCACTCTTGAATCTTTGTCAATTTTTTCCTTCACCTACATTTGTATCACCAGTCAAAGTTTTCGGGCAACCTTCACTATTTTTGTCCTCCACAGTAAAATGTCCGGTCTAAAATCTTTGAAACCACTTGTAAATAGTCACAAAGGATGATGCATTCACTCCATATGCACTTTGGCACTCCTGAAAAATTGGAATAGGCTTGAGTTGACGTCGAAATCCGTAGAGAATGACAAAACAAATTTTTGCTGCGTTGGTGGTGGAATTTCTACCAACTTTACATAACGAATCTTACATTTTCTGCTATCCAATCTTACCGATCTTCTTGAAATTTGACATGAAATATCGTTAGATTTTAACAAATTGAGAAACAACTATTGCTTTTCAGAAACAAATAAATTAATGCCAACTTAGCGAACTTTTGTTAGACCTCATATATGTTTGCTTTTTTAAATATTTCTATTGATGCAGGAAGATTAAAAAATGTTTAGGAGGTTCTTTAGTACACTTTCCACTAGATATGTGTTTGCAACTAGTATTAAAGCAAAAAGAGTAGTATTAATGTAAATATTATGGATCGATCAGAAAGTGTTTTGAAAAGGAAAGAGGGTCGTGAAAAATAAGACAATTAATAAAGTCCATGGCGATAGGAAAACAGAGCAGCGGAACGTGCAAATTACAAAGTAAACAAGCGAAGTTGCGTGAAAATATTTTCCCGACATAATTGCAGCGACACTCCGGTCTAGTTTATTCTAGCCCCGCCTGTAGCCAGTAACCCAATTACCCAAATACGAAATTCAATTGGGACACCCCTCGATTCTATTAGACCCCCGAGGAATGCGCTTTGCAGGGGAATCCTGTATTCAAAATTCGCGCGAACGAAATAAATAGAGCAAACTCATTTATTGCGAGTGCGCGCACGCGCTCACACTTATACATCGATTTTGAGTTGAATTAATGGAGCATATTTAACACACTGTTTACTCTTCTCGAGTGTTCCTCTTTTTTGCGCGAGAAAAAGATGGAGACGAATGTCCCCTTTGTTATTACGCCCCATATATTTTCATTGTGTAATGAGTAATAATAAAAACGCGATTTCGTCCACCCTCTTCTGCCGCTTTTCATCACTGATTTATCATTCTTGTCATCATTAGCACCTTCGCTGATCATTTTTTATTTTTTCGTTACAATAACAGGCAAAAAATTTATACGAACGTCGAAAAAAGCACATTTTATTATATCTAAGCCCATACGAACATGAAAATAAATACGCTCCGGACGTGTTACTGAATGCACCATAATTTGTTTGTTCATTCTTTTTTATTTTTTCCAAAAACAAACAAGATCAACAATGCGTATCATCGAAAACGAGCAGAACATTTGGTGGAAGCGCCGGGTTTATAACAATAAGAATAATTATTAGCTTTGTCTCATTTGTGCTTGTTGTTATACCATTATATAATATTAATTAATTAAAAAAACGCGATTTATATTCATTTAACAGAATCATTATAAATTAATAAAATAATATATTTAAAGCAGAGTCGAACCTAATACCGAAATTAACCGGATTTTTTAACAGAAAAGTAAAACCTAAAGCGGAACCAAATTTTAATTTCGGTTCATTTTTTTTTCATTAAATTAATTTATAAACTCCTATCATT